TAAATATATCCGAAAAATTTGACTAAACCTCTTCCACTGCTCACGCAGCCGGGAAAAGAAGTCCAGTTAGGAAAAGAAGTCCAATCTTCAATAAAATTTTTACGCTTCTACATCGACACTCGTGGAATAACCGAATCAATAAAAACAGACCAACTTTCGGGGTTCAAAGGAAGAGCCATGGACAAATTGTGCCTAGATAATAACATTGAACAGAAATTTCGTCCGGTGTTTGGCCATTGCGGCTGTGGGTTGGTCGATAAAATAATTCAGACAAATTAGAGAATAATCGGCTTCGTGTTGCCAGAAGAAAACATAAAGTCGATCGACTTCTGTTTTAATACAATAATTCGAGACATGCATTGGACTAAGCAAAAAAAAAGATCCAACAATCGCCATTCGAGGCACACTTTGGCAGACTTCTAAAATCCGAAGTTGAGACCATAGAAGATAAGTTCTTACTAATATCTGAACGTTTAGATAAACAACAACTGGAGAGGTCAGCGCTGACCGCGAGTCAAATGAAGAAACGGATTGATCAATCCCGAGACTCACTGAAGATTGTACGAAAAGACCAGAATAACAGAGAGGTTAGTACGCTGCTCAACCAGCAGGCTATATCGGCACGCGATAGAGACCGGGCGAGGACCCTTACGGCGTTACTGGAGGCAAACGCAAAGTGTAATGCCGAGAGGCGAGAGTCGGCGAAGAACGATTTTTGGCGGATAGTGGAGGACTCGAACATGATAAATCCAGACCTCAGAAAAGAATTGCCCTATTCCTAGGAAGGTGGATTTGTATAAGACAAACTTACGTCTGCAAGCAAGGAACTACCCCCAAATCTCTTACGCAAAGAAGAAAAGAGGAAGAGTGAGGCAGCTATAACGAATCCACTGAAAGGCACAGTGGTGTCGGAGACAACTACAACTGTCGCAACAGCAGCTGGCTCGATTTATCGCAAAAGTGATCAGGTGAAGTCAAAAATACCACTAATAGGGTTACCGAATACCGGATGGAAAGGTAGCCAGAAGGGCAAGGTTAAAAGTCCCCTGGAGGAGCCAAAAAGAAAACATCAGCGTCAAGAAAGTGAATCGGAGGAAGAATCCCGGATTCAGCAAGAGGAGCAGGCAAAGGAGCTTTTGTTGGAAAAGTGACACAGTGGTGACATCAAAAGACACCCCAGTAGGCGGTGGCCTAAAACTAGCGGTCAAACGAGCGACACCAAATCAGGGTGGTTCAGCATTGGTAGGACCGAAGTCCCAGGAGGAAGTAATTATGAAACAAAAACCGAAGAAACAAACGGCAGAAGAGAAGAAAAAAACTAACGCTGCAGCAGCAGCAGTAACTTCAGACTCGGCGCCAACAGCCGAGAGGGTAAGGACACAAGAAGTTAAGCAGCCAAGCAATTTTCACTCACTAAAAAGAGCAGTCCCAAGATCACAAGGAGAAGTAGAGACACATCCCCCAACACGATTCTCAGCACTTTTCAACAGCAAGACATGGCCCCTTCGGACCAAGTCTTCACGAGGGGAATCCGAAATACGGCACATGAATTTTCGAACGCCAAAGAGACTATGTCGGAGGAACAAACCACGGGGGAATCAGCTCCCCTCAAGGATTTTCTATTGAGTCAAGTGTAGATGACCCGACGGGATCAAAAGTCCGCTGTAGCAAGTGATCCAATAAGAATCAGGGGCCAAAACGTCTAGGCAGCCCAATAGAGCACTCAGTAAAGGAAATCAGTACCGACGAGGACATAGCTGACCTAAATCAACTAGCTTTGGAGGCCTATAGACAAAAGTTGGCTAACTTCATAACGGAAACAGACAAGCCAATGGAAACAAGATTAGGACTCCTGGAGAAACTTTTGTTTCGGCGGAAGTTTGGATATGCCGCGCTCGATATTTCCAGGACGTGGGACGCAAAGTGGAAATTGCCACTAAATTGAAAACGCTAAAAATAAAAACTTCTTATGCACCTACCCATCAAACTGAGTACAAAAACTCGTATTATTCTAGTATATTAAAAAAAACTTTATTTTATATGATAAAATTTTCTTGGTCCTCAGGGGAAAGTAGTACCGCGGTTGCAGCAATCTTGAGCTGAAACATAGTCTTATTACTGCAACTGCAGTTAAGTGTCTTATTGGCGCTATGTAATTAAGTTATTGATTTTGTTACTTATGTATAGTCAAGGTCAGAGGTGTTGTTTTAGAAGATTGTTTCGAATAAAACCGTTCATCGAGGGACACAGTGCAAAAATTGCAAAAAACCGAACCACTTCGCTCGGATGTGTAGATCTGAGCAAGTAAATGAGATCACCGAGGAAACAGAGAGCTCCAATGAAGAGTGCAATTTTTTTACATACATTCGACTCATGTGAAGAGTTTGAAATCATGTCAAAAAAGCTGAATGTAAGCCGAATGAATAGCATTGGAAGATATATCCAAAGGAGATTAGAGAACAAAAACAGATGTCAAGAACAATCTTCTACAAATTTGGAGATAAAGAAAACAGTCATACGCAAAGAGCCAAAAATCGGAAAGTATGAAATCACTAAAAGCGTTAGTGCGAATTGATAACCGGGGATGACTGTGGTTACCGGAAGCCCTTTTTGAACTGGGCAACAGCAAAGCAATTTCTTGAATCGTCACGCAAAGCAAAATTTGTCCGAGCAGAACATCTAAACTAGCCAGCTCAATTCGTGGATCACAATCAACAACCTTTTGTGAGACTTGGAGATGTAAAGGCGGACATACTATCTGCACGATGGTAAGACCAGGAGGTCACATTCTTATTAACTTAACGACGTACACGATGCATTCTGGGGCTCGACCTTTAGAATAGAGTGGGGATTACAAGATTACAGGATTACGAGAGGGTGAGGACACAAGAAGTTAAGCAGCCAAGCAATTTTCACTCACTAAAAAGAGCATTACCAAGATCACGAGGAGAAGTAGAGACACATCCCCCAACACGATTCTCAGCACATTTCAACAGCAAGACATGGCCCCTTCGGACCAAGTCTTCACGAGGGGAATCCGGAAGACAGCACAGGAATTTTCGAACGCCAAAGAGACTATGTCGGAGGAACAAACCACGGGGGGATCAGCTCCCCTCAAGGATTTTCTATTGAGTCAAGTGTAGATGACCCGACCGGATCAAAAGTCCGCTGTAGCAAGAGATTCAATAAGAATCAGGGGCCAAAACGTCTAGGCAGCCCAATAGAGCACTCAGTAAAGGAGATCAGTACCGACGAAGACATAGCTGACCTAAATCAGATAGCTTTGGAGGCCTATAGACAAAAGTTGGCTAACTTCAAAATGGAAACAGACAAGCCAATGGAAACAAGATTAGGACTCCTGGAGAAACATTTGTTTCGGCGGAAGTTTGGATATGCCGCGCTCGATATTTCCAAGACGTGGGACGCAAAGTGGAAATTACCACTAAATTGAAAACGCTAAAAATAAAAACTTCTTATGCACCTTCCCATCAAACTGAGCACAAAAACTCGTATTAATCTAGTATATTAAAAAAACTTTATATTTATATGATAAAATTTTCTTGGTCCTCAGGGGAAAGTAGTACCGCGGTTGCAGCAATCTTGAGCTGAAACATAGTCTTATTACTGCAACTGCAGTTAAGTGTCTTATTGGCGCTATGTAATTAAGTTATTGATTTTGTTACTTATGTATAGTCAAATTCAGAGGTGCTGTTTTAGAAGATTGTTTATTGTTTACGTCAGTTCGACATACTCATGTGTGCAATTAAGCCAGCCGATCTGAGCTACTAACAAAAGAGCAAAAGAAAGAAACATTAAACTTTTGAATTCAAACAATTGAATGTAATTGTTTCACTTCTAAACATACGAGTCGTTTCCTTTGGTTATCACAATTTGAAAAAGTTCCTCGCTCAATTATTTAAGCTCAATCTAGTAGCTTCTGATGACAGTATTAAACAAAAATATCTTGAAAAATTTAGCGTTTTTTCTTCAAAATAACTCTCGAATATCTCATTGAAATTATTCTTGTCGGAGTAAAGTTTCAGTCGGGGTGAGACTTGAGTGGGCTCACTGATCGATTATTTGATTGTTTTGAACGCAATTTTAATAGGATGGCTGTAACCGCAAAATTCCTTAAGTTGCGGTTTCGTATCTTTGCACAATCATTACTTGTGTTTTCAAAGTAATTTTGATTCACAAATACTTTGGGTTTTGAAATCATATTGAGTTTAGTTAAATCACAGAGATTTCTCGCCATGCTCTTATGCTTCTCAATGTTTTCCTCCAGTTCCTGATTTGCTTAAGGAAAATTTCGCTCAATGGCAACAATAACCAAATTCAAAAACGATCGATTTCGGAACATAAAATATCACAAATTTTAAAAGATAGATAGGAGGTTTTGTCTTTTTTTTTGATGCAGCTGTCTTCTAGTAAAAGAAAATTAATAGAAAAAGACTCAAATAAACATCTATAATTAATATTTTTTAAAATAAATACGTCTAAAATAAAAACCGCACAGCAGTTGAAATCACGTGATGTATTTTTAGCTCTACTTTAAATTATGCATCCAAAATTTATCCAGTTTAAACAAAATAGCAGACTTCAGAAAAATGATTATCTCTCAATAAAATAATATTTCACTCATAAAAAAATACTTTTGCAGATTTTCCTCTTTCAAAAAATTACAAATTCCATGGGCATAGTTACTAGGAGGTGGAGTAAATGAGTCAAGGGCGGTATAAGGGGGATTTTTTTTTTTGGGGGGGGGGGGCTTTTGCTTTTGCTCGATCTTATTGTATGTTTCGACAAATCGACTGAGGCAGGCGTGCGCCAATAAACCGCGGTTTTCTGGTCAAAACTATCAAAAAGTGCCCAAAGGCGACATCTTTATCCTGGCGGAAAATTTTTTGACACAATAGGGTCTTTATATTTTTTTCACAAGCTCGGAAAACTAATTTGCTCAACCTAATAATAAAAAGGCGTCAAATTTTTTTTGAACCCCCTTTATGCTCCCCCCTCGAAAAAATCCAAAATCCGCCCCTGAACATTACATTAGCTAAACACAGCACTGCACTTCTATTAGAAGCAAATTGAAATTGTTACTTAAAACCTTATAAAAAACGTGAAGCTACAAATCTTAGCTGATATGCTCGCAAACCATATTGCGATACCATATTCTCATTATTATTTGTTTTTAAAAAGCTTTATTTACTAAAACAGATGTTGAAACCAACCATGATTTGTTTTTTTTTGTGAATATTTAGCTGACATTTTGATGAAATTTGAGGTTAATGTCGTGTTTTTGCTGTCTATTCTAAACTTGACGGTCTATTTACAAAAGAAACAGATTTAATAATTTAGGAGGTAGCTAAGTATACAAAACAGCGACAGGTAGGATTAGAAAATTGATCACATTAATTCTTCTTTTTATAGAAATCAGCAAGTTGTTCACTTCTTGAACCGGCAAATCTGTCAAAACCAGGCATAAATTAAATTCGGTCTCTTGAGCAAAATAACCCTCGTTCCCATCCCATTTCCATTTAAAATACTGTGCCCCTTTTTGTTGAGTGAAAAAAAAAACCGGAGGAGTTTTCAGATCGTGTGATGGTAAGCCATAAACATCCCCATGTAAACCTATTTTGCCTTTATAATCGATTTAATTTCAGTCAATTATGCGCTGTTCCATTTATTGAAAAAAGGGGCGGGGTGTTCTGATTGAGTTGAAAAGTCGGTCTAATGTAATCTAATGCATATGATCATGAAAAATGGGGGCATCTCTTTTGGCATACGGACCTAATAACAGAAAGGTACATTAGCCAATCAGAAATCTTTATTCAAAAATCTGGAAGAAAACGTGGCAATTCAGTGAGAACTTCGGACAATTTACAGGCTATTCATTGATTACTTAGAAACTTTCTGCTACTTGGCCCTTATGCTATATAAATGGCCCGCGTGAAATGTCAATTTGATTAGCGGGGAGTCCAGTAGGTGAAAAGTGCTTGGACAGTAGTTCTAAAGTACATATTACACGTGAAGTAGATTATAGGGTTCAGGTCGAAGTAGGCCAAGTAAACAGCGAACAAGATTTCATTCGTGGAACTCAAAACCCAACCGAGTTTTGGTGAAATTCCGATTTGTGGGAAATATCCGGAAATGAAAACATACAGGTCCAGAAACACTACAGGAATATGACACACCAAAAAAAGCAGGCTCACTAGAAAAAGTGTTTTTGTTAGCTTTCGATTCGCTTTGCTATTGCTCGATCTTATTGTATTTTTCAACGACGTATTTGGATTAGCCAACGACAACGGCTGAAGGTTCGGCGATGGCGTGCTGCTGGTGCTCGTCGACTCTTTTTTGTTTCCGGCTGACCTCGGGTCCAGACTCATTGACGACAGTTTTGAACGCCGCGCAGCTCCCAACTTGATAGACTCGCGGTTGTTTTTACACCGTGCACAATTAACACTGTGTACTTGATCGAGTTCGGTTTCGACTCGTGTCTCGTAGGTGTTAATCGGCGACGAGTCCAACCCCCCAGTTCTTCGAGTGGGTGGGGGCACGTTGAAACTCACTTGGTAGCCCCCTTGGGAAGGTATGCAACTCCCATTTTGCAAGTCCATTTCCGAATTTTTCCAGGAATTGTTCACGCTGACATACGCAACTTCAGAAGCATTCGAGCAAGTTCTAGTTGCTGGTTGCTTTTGCTCATAGGTGAAATAAGCAGTCACTTCAGTTTTGGTACTCTGAGTATGTCGGTTTATCTCTTTCATGACCTTGACATAAGCCCAAATCATGACCCCGGCATCGCCCAAAATGATCAAAACTCGGGTGCAGTGATAGTAGAAATCGATGTATTTTGTGATATTCGCAGACTGGCAGTTGCAATACGGGACAGCCATGAGACAGTTTACAAAACCAAACAGATATCCGCAAAAAATAAGTTTTCGAACCCTGTCTGAAGTAAAAATTGCCCTGTAATCGTAGGGGTAACAGATTGCCACGTATCTGTTAACTGTAATAACAGCGATTAGGAAACCAGATGAGTATGTTGAGAAAATGAATGCGGAGGCGTTTAGTGTGCAAACTATAAGTCGGCAGAACCAGTCACCGAGATGAAAACTATGTCGATAAGCAGCTACTGATGTCATAAAAATGAGACTCAGTAACGAAATCATAACATCGATAAAACCGAGCGAGCAAATCAAATATTCGCTTGGGTGTTTGTCTCGTTTTATCATGTAAACATACACGACCATGAAGTTACTGAAAAAACCGAATAAATTAATCACAAGTTTGACGAAAAATAAAATATGCTGGAATGTTGGATGTTCTTCTTCCGGAATTACATGTTGACATATATTTCCTTCTTCGACGAAAGTTTGTTCAGACGACGACGAATTGAATTCATTCGTGATTGAAAAATTCATTTCGAAGCCTAATTAAACGGAATCAATGTTTATCGTGAAGTAACGGTAATGATTTAGTAAACCTATGATTTCAAATGAAGTCGTTTCGAATTAATAGGAAATTAATGGTAAATATAAATTTGTTCACGCTTTGGGTACTTTTAAAGGTAGCCTCCACCCCAAGAGGGGCTTTGAATCCTTACTAAAGTGTCAGTTTTTTTGATAGACAACTTTTCCAATTGTGTGGTGGAAAATTTCGTTTGTTGAAATTGGTGTCCAACTCCCAGGTGACTGTAGGCGAAAGCTGCTGGCTCGAATTAATCTGAAATAATCCAAGTTGAACATAGGACAGGGATTTTAAGTTTTAATCGAACGATGATGGTTTAAAATAGCAAATTTGACCTTTTTTTATTATTTAACATTTCGTGTAGCTCTAAAATAGCATCTATCTAAAATAGCACCTCTAAAATAGCTCAAAAATCTCAAAATTGATTCTTTGATATGAGCTCTTGTACCAATCAAAGTATCGTCAAAAGGGCATTTTTAATAAATATACAATTTATTGAACACCTTTTGCCATTTAAAATGCACACTTTAGCTGCGATAAAAAATAACTAAATAAAGACTGAAATAAAAATATTATTTTTTCAGTGATTTATTGTTTTTTTCTGAGGCAAAGAAAGCAAAAGAATAAGCAATAAACCGACGCAAAACTGTTGAAAAGTGAATTAATGAGATAGATGCAAGTTCATCTTATGCATGACGTAAGCTGATGCTACTCTTTAATTTACAAAGACTACACTTGAAACTTGATAAATTAGGCTTGGAGCTTTTTTGGCTCCTGGAACAAAACCTGCATTAAGGAAATGAAGTTAGTAAATATCAACAGCAGCAAAAATGCTTGATTAAAAAGAGTTTTTGCAAATTAAAAGGGTTTTGTTGGGAAAAATTCATCAAAGCATCATTGTCATTATAATTTCAGATTTGTTAACAACACCAATTTCGGAAATGTACGTCAACTTTTTTTTGAAGGGGAAAAACCGGACATAATACAATAACTGATTAAGAGCTCAGCTAAAGGATGCATTAAGTGATTGTAGTTTCAAAATTTCCCTCAAATAGTCCATTTGACCTTTAAACTAGTTCATTACGTAGGTAGAAAAAAACGAATTGAGACTAAATTGAAAAACTTCGTAAGTAGCTGATCAAACTAAGGTAATTTCAACAAGACCCGAAAAGTTTGAGTATACCTTAACCAAACGTTTTAGGTTTTAGGTACTCAATATCAAAGACAACCAACCAACGACTTATTGTCTCAAATTGCGAAACAAGGAAAATATATTACGAAATTATTAATTTTTCCATTTGATGAAAGAAAAAAAAAGAAAATCCCGAAAAAAAAATTGACAAAAAACTCTAAATTCCAGCCACTAAAATTCATTTGAAGCTCATTTTCATGCCGAAACTCTTTCAAACTGTATCATTAATTGTGAAGAAGATTGCTGCTGATTACATCTCAATATGGCGTAACTCCCTGCGTAATAAAAGTGAAATTGGTCTCAAATGACATGAAAATGACGTCATCAAACCACCAAAATTACCAAAAACGCACGCGAAAAATATTCAATGCAGTAAAAAAGCATTTTGAAAAAAGTCTTAGTAATTTACACAAACACAAACAAGACTGCTCGTATCAGGGCGAAGCCCTGAATGTTCCGACTGCCTTTTAAGGTTTATGGAGCAGCAGTAATAACATAAAAAATTAAATGAATTAAAATAAAATGAAAATTTTGTTTTCTAAAATTTGAATTTTTTTATGAAAATCATCCCCCACACGCCATATAAAGTACAAAAAGAGAGATTTCGTTCCTTGTAACAAATCAATTATGGCAAATAAGCTTCGTTCAACCAATTTGGAACGATTTATAAGACGGATTAAATCTCCGCTTACGCGTTATTAGCGCAAAATATATCGCGCGTTGATTGTCCCAATTTGACCAAAATGGCAATTTTTAAACCCCCGTAAGCTTACGAAAAATGATCACAGGTGAAATATTTTTTCAAATTTAAGCTCAGGACAACAATACCTTTTGAATGATATAAAAAAATCCGTCAAAAATGGCTAGTTAAAAAGTCGAAATTTGTCTGAAGAAAAAAAAACCCACCCCGAGCACAAATATTCCGTTACTTCCGTATCGAAAGTCGGAACAACTAGCAGGGGTGGATCTAGAATTTTTTTTGAGGGGCAGATTTTCTGAAACTCTTCGAAACTTTCGTCGACCTTTCTCAAGTGTGAAAAAGTAATCATTTTTTTCAATCTGAAAAAGCCGGAAAAACTTTCAAAAATTATTCGGAGCGCTCCAAAAATAGTAAAAAGACTGAAAAAATAAACAACACCCACAAAATGACTTTTCATTATAAAAAGGCGTTTCATTTGAAAAGAGTGATAAAATTTAAAAATATATATTTTGATTTTTTTAAACATCTTCCTCCGCGCACTATTTATAGTATTAAATGATTTTTTTGCACCTGAAAAGAGACCAATTAGTCAAATTAGCTGATTCAATTCGATATGGAATGATTTCAAAGGCAGATTAAATTTCCGCTGACGCGTTATAGGAACGGAATTTTGGCAGTTTTCAAACAAACTTGCTTTTATCAAAGCAATCGCAGCTGAATTGTTCTTTTAATATGGAGCTCAAAACTATATTTATCAGTCGGATAAAGCTTGAAAAAAAAAACGTCAAAGGCAATTAGTTAAGAAGTTGAAATAAATCGAACAATAACACATATCATTAGTAATTAGCTCAATCTGATTCCATCAAACAAAAATTTTTGTTGGAGAATTAGGAAATAATTTCCTTAAATTATACGGCATCAAATTTGATCAGCAAATTCATAAAAGCTAAGCTAAATTTGATAGATTGCAGAACAACCTGGCAATTAAAAAAGAAAAACGAATTGTTTAAAGTTTAAATCTATCTGTTTGTTTCCATTGAGCTTATTAAGTTTTCTTATTTTATTTACAAGAATATGTTATTTGTTGAATCAATGATGAAAAGATCGAAAAATAGCTTTACCTTGTATGGCTTCATTTTAATTTATCTATGTTGATGTCAATCAATAATAATGGTTTACTGACCTTTATATACAGTCTTACTCGAAATAGTTCAAGGGGAGGAGGATAGGAGAGAAAATATCATCTTTTCGAAAATTTCAGTTTGAGTGTGTTGGTTAAAGACCTCATTTTAAAAATCTCATTGAAAAATTTCTGAACAAAATATTTGATTAATAGTCTAAAAATGAAATTCCATATCAAAATTTTACTGGATGAACGTGTGAAATACAAATTTTGAAAAATCAATTTGAATTTTCATTAGAAGAAGATTCCACGGTAATTAAACTAGATAATAAAAAATAGGTGGGAGATGGTACGGTTTAGCCAATTTTTTAATCTGAAATTTTTGTACAAGTTTGATTTTTCATTTGGTTAAAAAAACGCATTGAATGAACGACAAGAGTGTGATAATTTCCATTGCTCGGCGTACAGTTGTAATTACAATGAGAGTTAAGGATGCAACCGTTCATCAACGAAAAGCTTTTTACCCTCATAATTCTATTTCAAAACTTCCAATTTTATCAGAAAACAATTCAACAATAAAAACGAGTTATTTTATTACGATGCCAAAATGTGTGTTTTGTGAATTGTAAGCTGTTTTCACAACAAAGACGCTCTCTTTGATCTTCTTTTGTTTTTTCGTTTTCTTTAGTCGTTTTGACAAAAAATTAACAAGTGTAAAAACTTATCTGTAAAATCCAGAGATCTACACAAAATAAATTGTGCGCCTATCCAGTGCACAATGAGACTTCGTAATATGACTCAATTATGTAACAGTTTCGAAGTATGCACTGAAAACAAAATATCGTTTTCTAAAAATGTGCTCAAAATTTAAGGTTTTTTAGCAAAAACAGTTGAACCAATTTGCAAAAACTTCAGCTAATTTTAGCGAACTTCGTTTCTGATTTACCTTCGAAATTTATCTTTGAAACGTTTTAATTAGAAAATTCATATTAGAATTTTTGAGTGAAAAAAACAACGGAAAACGTCTTTTTTTTGAAAACAATAGAGCCCCGAACACAATGTCAGCAAGGAACATCTTTTTTTGTGCCTTGTACTTTTTAATTTGGGTCATTTATAACCAATCATAGCATTGCGAACTAAGATATTTGGAAAAGAAGCGAATTTATTTTTCAAAGCATCGAAACCCATACAACCCTACAACAAGCTAGTTTAGTTTCACAGACTTTGACAAATCATGTTTCTTTTCACCCAAAAAGAAACTTGTTTTCGAATTTTTATCGAGATTAGTGTTTTTCAAACTTAACTTTTTTGAAATCCTAAAGGTATTATAAGAATTATAAGCAAAAGTACAGCAACTAGTTTTTCTGGAGTGAAAAAAGTTTTTGCCTGCTCAAATTTTTTTCTTTTTTCAGAAGATCTACTGGCTTGCTTTACTCGCTCGAAATTAGACTAAGCTTTATTAATTTCAAAATTTAATAAATTTTGATAAATTTTCTCGACCAGAAAAAAATTGTTGAAAATTAACTTAAAGTGTTTGAATTGTGACTGAGAGGGCTTTAAGTTGGTTTTATTTTTTGAACGATTTCAGTGACTATTTGCGGTAGCTTATTGTGCTTGAAAACAAAATAAACCTGCTTGTTTTTTTCATTCGCTCAAAATTAGACCAAACAGCACAACATTTAAACCAATTTTTCCTAAAACTGAGAAAAATAATTATAAACCTGTAAAGTTGTTCACATGATATTAATATGATATATCAATCGACGCTTTTTGTTGATTACTTTTGGTATCTGATTTTGTTAGGAAAAAACTAAAATGCCCCGAAGACAAGTTTTCTCCCCATTTTCAATGGTCGGGAAAAAAAAGTTGCCTAAATAAAGCAAGTTTTATTGTGTAAATCTTAGAGCATATGCCATTTGAGTGTTTTTTTTTCTCCGATCTTTTCTGTTTATCGGTCCAAAATACCAATTTGTTGATATTGTTGAATAAGCCTCAAATTCATTCAATCGAAAATCTTCGGCATTGAGATCCAAATTTCGTACATAGAAAAAAGATAAGATTTTGGCCGTATAACAAAAATTTAGTTTTTTTTCTGAGTTTTAAAAAAAGTTACGAAACATACATTTGTGGTGTATCCAGTTGACCAGTATTGTATCTTTTTATTAGAGCAATCTCGCAAGTTACTGACTTACCAATTTAGTGCAGAGCAAATATGAAATGTCTCAAATTTATCATATTTT